AAACACACCAGCAAGTCCACCTCTGAATGGCTGAAGAAAAACAAAATGAAGACTTTGGAGTGGCCTAGTCAAAGTCCTGACCTGAATCCTATTGAGACGCTGTGGCATGACCTTAAAAAGACGGTTCATGCTCGATAACCCTCCAATGTGGCTGAATTACAACAATTCTGCATAGATGAGTGGACCAAAATTCCTCCACAGCGCTGTAACAGACTCATTGCAAGTTATCACAAACGCTTGATTGCAGTTGTTGCTGCTAAGGGTGGCCCAACCAGTTATTAGGTTTAGGGGGCAAACACTTCTTCACACAGGACCATGTAGTTTTATATTTTGTTTTCTCTTAATAATAAAAACCTTCATTTAAAAACTGCATGTTGTGTTATCTTTGACTAATATTTAAATTTGTTTGATGATCTGAAACATTAAAGTGTGACAAACATGCAAAAAAATAAGAAATCAGGAAGGGGGCCAACACTTTTTCACACCACTGTATATATATATATTACTTAAATACTTAATATTTAAAACTTAAAAATAAAAAAACTTAAATACATTTTTTAAAAATAATAAAAATTTATTTAATTAGTTGTGTGTGTATATATATATATTTTTTAAATTGTATTTTATATTTTCTTAGAGAAATATTGTGTTGTGTATATATATATTTTCTATAAACAAATTTTTTAAATAAAACATTGTACAATATTTTGTATGTATTATATTACACATTTTTACTTGATGCTTATTTAATTAATTGTTTAATTAATGTACTCCGGTGTCCTTTGTAGTAGTACCTAGCAGAAGCATGCAAATACCATACGGATATACCACGGTATCACCATCTGACGGCATCTCTGTAAAGCAGCGCTGCGGTCTCACCTGCAGACGGAGGCCTGTCTGAGAATGCGCTCGGGGTGGCAGGCGCTCTCAGGCTGATCTGGTGATGAAGGTAGCCACGCGGCGGGAGGTGATGAAGATGATGATGATGGTGATGAAGATGATCGAGGGAATGGATGGGGTGAGCGCTAATCACAGCTGAGAGACACACACACACACACACACACAGTGAGCTTACCAAGACAACACAGCTGTTCCAAAACTTAGTGAGCTGATTTGCTGTATTCTTCCTACATAGACAGCATCCCTACTAAGGCAGCATTCTAAATGAAATGCAACCTCATAAGTGAGTGATTTGGAACGCCCTACATTGGCAGCGACTGTGTGCATCACATAAATAAAAGTAGTTGTAGTTTTGATTTTACGGCGTTAAAATTACAGTGCTGAAAATAAAACAATAAATCCAAAATAAAAGTTAAATTATAGTAAAAACTATAATTAATAAAAAAGTGTAATCTATTGATTTAACTTATAGTTTGAAAAGTATTTACTTTTTTTACCTTATTAAATCTTTTAAATGAAATTATTAAACGCTACATAATGTTATTAAAATTGTATAAAATATATTTTAGATTTATTAATTTTATTTGCAGAATTTATTTAGGAAATTATTTTATTTTGTTACTGATTTATTGATAATTATATAGAAGTACATGTAAATAAGTATATAAAAAAAAAATATATATATATATATATTCCCAATAGTCAGGTATGTTGCTCTATGAAACTTAATAAATAGAAAGCACATGCAAATATTTAGTCAAATTAGACTGAACTGTTAAGATTGAATGAATTAGACATTTATCATAATTTCTTGGAATTAATTGGATCTTTTTGAATGTAATGCATTATGGGGCTGCTTTGATTAGGAAGGATATATGCAATATGCAAAAATATGCGATCTTAAAAGACAACGTGACATTGCTGCCTATCTGTATTGCGAGCACATCTTAAGCTGCTTAAGACAGAAGCTCACTAGGTTTGGATGTAGTTTGCTACTGCACACAGCACAACATGAAAAGCACAGCACAGGCTGAGATGGCATGGGACAATCAATGACTTGCCCTTTTTGCTTGCTTTTTCTTTTGAAGACACTCTGTGAACTTACGCTGGGGAGGCTGAGAGTCGAGCGGCATCATCATTTTGGGTCTCACTCCCCTCCGACCGGCCAAAGTGGACACGCTCTCCTCCACCTCGTGACCTGCACACACAGAAATGCATTCATGAAACAGACTGGGTCCTGGATGCTGGGTGCTGGGTGAGGTGTAGGCGAGGTGAAGCTGAGGCTCTCACCCCGTCTCTGATGGCTGGGCTCAGCGGCGGGGTCCTGGGTGGTCCGCGGGATGGGCGTCTCTGTCATGACCGGGTTGGGCTCGGGTGATTTGTCCATGGGTTTGAGCTCCAGACGCTCGTGATGGATCCACAGATCAGGAGGTTTCAGGTCTTTAGATGAACTCTTGTACTTGTGGGAGCTGGTGCTGGACTTACAGGCCGCACGCTTCCTGAAAACAAACACACTTGAATATTTAGAAAAAAAAATATATATATAATAATAATATTTTACTTGTCTTATATTTTACAAATATCATGTACTAAATGACTAATGTACTATGTATATATACAGTATACTATATATCATTTTTATTTTATTTTTTTCCAGCTTACCAGCTCAGATCTTCAGCCATAAGACTAAATCACCCTTTTAATTATTTTAAAATCATTAAACGAATATCAAAACTATTTGAAACAAGAACATGAATAGTTTGAGTGTGTTGGCACTCGGATAGTAGATACATTATATAGATGTTACTCTATACTAAATATTTGATACATTATGAAAATGTCAATTTATGACAATTTAGAATAATTTCATAGAGATCTGACACAACAAAAGGTAAAAAAAATAAAAAATAAAAATCAATTTAGCTTTGTTTTATTGGTTAAATTAATTTTATCTCATTCAAATTATCTTTTGATGTCTTATAAAATAAATTTTTGCAATATCAAATATATTTCATATATTAAATATATTATTATTAATGCATAATTATATATTAACATTTTTAAAATATAAAATACTTCTAAAATAGACATTTAAAATGATTGTCATCTAACATAACATTAAAGTCCCACATTTTCATAATTAGTATTTTAATGTTATTATATTTAAATACATTTTTTAATAACATTAAATTAGGAGTTCTTTGTGACAGAATAACAACAATCAAGATGAACTGAAGTCAGATCCTGCAGCACTTATTGAGATCTTTTTCTGTACTTTTAATTCTTCATTCATGTTGAATTAAGCATGATTTTACCACAGTTAAGGGGTCATATGATGCGATTTCAAGTTTTCCTTTCTCGCTGGAGTGTTACAAGCTGTTCGTGAATAGATGAGATCCCTAAAGTTGCAAAGACTAAAGTCTCAAACACAAAGAGATATTCTTTATCAAAGTTAAGACTCAGCCACACCTACTTAACACGGCTCGTTCTAACACGCCCCCACATATCTACCTCACTATGTGGGAAGATTTGCATAACGCCGCCCAAATGTTCACGCAAAGAAAGAAGGCGTAACTTTTATTCTTGCTGTAGTATTGCTGCCGCCGCCGCCATGTCGTGAAGACGCTTTGTGCTTCGTTGTGAAAGCAAAACTACTTTGTTTGGTCTTCCAAAACAGGACACGACTAGAAATCAGTGGTTAAGTTGTATTTACAATACTGTTCCAGAACAGTTCAAACCAAATATTCAGATGTGTGCAGCACATTTTATGGAGGACTGTTTCCTGATCCTGGGAGAGTAGACTACAATGCCGGCTCTTCTGACTCACAGACTGCAAGTTCATTTTTTATATTTAAAGGATTTGTCACTGACGATTCAAACGTGAGTTTTGAGCAGTGTAGAGTAGCACTTGTTGTTGATCACAAGATGAAAAATGCAGACATGGTTTTATGTTTACGTGGTAAAAAGACAGTATAAGTCATTATAATCATTAATTATGTCCCCACTGGATGCACCATATGGTGAGGGGCGTAACATTTCCGTCACACGCTTGAGTTATTCGATGTTCTTTTTAGCAGCATCATATGACCCCTTTAATATACATGTGTATGTAATTAAAAGAACACACTTCTTGCGGTGGGAGTTGGACCGGCGCGTGCACAGGACGGCCCCCACAACCACAGCGATGATAGTGAACACGCCAACAGACACAATCACCACGATCACCAGAACACGGTTCTCCTGGCTGCCGGTGATGCCTGGTTTATCTGACACACACACACACACACACACACACACACACACACACACACACAGAGGAGACAGCGTTACTCCACCGCAGGTCCTCATGAGATCACATGGCTGTCTTTAAAGAGTGCGTCTTCCTTGTTTACCCATGTTTGAGCCAATCCCGTGCTCAGGTAGGGTCGGGTGACCGGGTTTGACTTGCAGCCCTACAGACAACAGCGAAATTAATTTAACTGAATATATTTATTTTATATTATATATGCATTTTATTTAATATATTTATAGATTCTATATATTTAACTTTTTAAAATAAATATATAATACATTTTAATTTAATATATTTAGCAAAATGATGTATGTTGTATATAAATTCTATTCATATTTTAAATATTTTAAAAATATTATATATATATAATTATATAGACTTTTTATTTAATGATAAACATTTATAAATATATAAACCTAAATTAAGTGTGTGTGTGCACACACACAAATACATTTAACTTGAAATTCAAATAAATGTAATTTAATTTAAATAAAAACTTTTATTTAATTTGCATTTCAATTTCAAGTGCTATATGGCAGATTTAACAACTGTTTTAATGTCTGGAAATTGTTTTGACAATATTAAACTTCTAGATATATACTTCTAAACACATTTATTCAATATCAAATAGCATGTGTAATATTTAATTATGTATGAATAATATGCATAATAAAATAATGGTAACACTTTACATAAGGTTCATTAGTTAACTACTTTAGTTAACATGAACTAAGCATGAACAATACTTCTACAGAATTTATTAATTTTAGTTAATGTTAATTTCAGCATTTACTAATGCATTATTAAAATCAAAAGTTGTGCTTGTTAACATTAGTTAATGACTGTATTTTCATTAACTAACATTAACAAAGATGAATAAACAATACTGTAATGAATGTATTGCTCATGTGATTTAATACATTAACTAATGGAACCTTGTTGTAAAGTGTTACCAATATACTAAATCAATATGTATGCATTTAAAACGTAATGTTGTGTGACCGTTTAATTTCCTCCTGCATTAGAAAGATGTTTAATTACCTTGATCACTGGACATTTTGTCTGATGGTTCCGCTGGAAACAAAGACAAACGGAATGAATCGATGAGCACAAGGTGAGTTTTAACAGGCGAGTCTAAGCGAGGTTGAGCTTTTACCTTTGGGGGTGTGGAACTGCGCCGCGTCTGACATGGGTCCCATGCCTTTGGAGTTTCTCGCCTGGATCTTGCAGTAGTATGCGGTGTCCAGCGTCAGCCCCTGAATCTGATGGGTCAGTCTGTTTCCCACCACGGGCTCCACCACCCAATCATGGACCTCAGCGTTCACATCGGTGCTGTAGTAGATGATGTACCCTGAGAGAGAGAGACAGAGAGAAAAGCATGATTCGTATGCATCACACATTCTGTAAATCCTGTGATCGGCATCCGTAATGAAATCAGGTAAATGTCATGCAAATAATGTCACCAGGCAAAAATCTTCTCGATGCTTCTAGAAATAAGCCTGATTCTCTTCAAGCATGTTTTGTGGTGAAGATGTTTTTGGTGTACCTGTGATTTTGCCGTTGGCTTCAGTCGGAGGCTGCCAGTTGATGTTGATGATTCGTGGATTTCCCTCTTTACTGATCACCGTCACATCTTTTGGAGCAGAGCTGGGAACTACAAGACACACCAAACAACATTAAAGCCCCAGAATACAACTACATAGACTATTACTAAAAGCTTTGTCATTGCAATTTGTCCCGAAATCATGTTAAAATGCAAATAAGATATGTTTCTTTTGTTTTTTCTTACGTTTTATTATTATTATTAATTTTATTTACACCTTTTTATGTTTTTTCTTCTTGAGTGTGTGCATATATTATTATTATTGCTTTTATAAAACGGTTATTGCATATATGTAGTAAGGTTCCACAGAATAAAACAGAGCAAATAAAGTGCGGAACTATCCATACTGTAATGAATGTATTGCTCATGTGATTTAATACATTAACTAATGGAACCTTGTTGTAAAGTGTTACCAATATACTAAATCAATATGTATGCATTTAAAACGTAATGTTGTGTGACCGTTTAATTTCCTCCTGCATTAGAAAGATGTTTAATTACCTTGATCACTGGACATTTTGTCTGATGGTTCCGCTGGAAACAAAGACAAACGGAATGAATCGATGAGCACAAGGTGAGTTTTAACAGGCGAGTCTAAGCGAGGTTGAGCTTTTACCTTTGGGGGTGTGGAACTGCGCCGCCTCTGACATGGGTCCCATGCCTTTGGAGTTTCTCGCCTGGATCTTGCAGTAGTATGCGGTGTCCAGCGTCAGCCCCTGAATCTGATGGGTCAGTCGGTTTCCCACCACGGGCTCCACCACCCAATCATGGACCTCAGCGTTCACATCGGTGCTGTAGTAGATGATGTACCCTGAGAGAGAGAGACAGAGAGAAAAGCATGATTCGTATGCATCACACATTCTGTAAATCCTGTGATCGGCATCCGTAATGAAATCAGGTAAATGTCATGCAAATAATGTCACCAGGCAAAAATCTTCTCGATGCTTCTAGAAATAAGCCTGATTCTCTTCAAGCATGTTTTGTGGTGAAGATGTTTTTGGTGTACCTGTGATTTTGCCGTTGGCTTCAGTCGGAGGCTGCCAGTTGATGTTGATGATTCGTGGATTTCCCTCTTTACTGATCACCGTCACATCTTTTGGAGCAGAGCTGGGAACTACAAGACACACCAAACAACATTAAAGCCCCAGAATACAACTACATAGACTATTACTAAAAGCTTTGTCATTGCAATTTGTCCCGAAATCATGTTAAAATGCAAATAAGATATGTTTCTTTTGTTTTTTCTTACGTTTTATTATTATTATTAATTTTATTTACACCTTTTTATGTTTTTTCTTCTTGAGTGTGTGCATATATTATTATTATTGCTTTTATAAAACGGTTATTGCATATATGTAGTAAGGTTCCACAGAATAAAACCGAGCAAATAAAGTGTAATGATATTAATAAACACAGTATTCTTCCACCAAACAATGTAGCTCCTCAGAAACAGTTGTGGTTGCTACAAAGTAGCTGCCGAGCAACACACAGACGTAAACAAAGGTGTGTGTTTGCTTCGAGCGCCGCTCAGCCAATCAGAATCAAGGACCGGAACGCTCCGTTTTATAAATATATATATATATATATATATATATATATATATATAGCGTTTCAATTTCCAACTCTTATAGAAAATTGTAATCTTAAAGAAAAAAAATGAAATTAATGAATGTAATCGCATGGATTTGTTGGCGAGAGTCGAGGATTTGTTGAATCTGATTTTTTATCTGAAAAACCAATAAAAAAAACTTTGAGAACAAAATGCAAATAAGACATTAAATATGCACTCATTTTGCATGCATCCTGACTAAACTAAACATCTGTGTTTTAAGTTTTATGTACTTTAGGCATTAATTTTAGATATTACAAGGTTGAGAGAACCCATGTTTTGTTCACATCTACAGACAAATAATGAAATACATTTTATATAATAAAATGCTCTTGAAATAGTCATAACATTATTGGGAACTTGTGTGGAAAAACTGCTGCATACATGTTTAATGAGATAAAACTAGATGAAATGGCTATTAAATGCAGGCTTGCATTTAATGTACATAATTAAACAAATAATAACAACAATAATAAAAATAATTACACTAAATGAAATGACTATGGCATAATGTCATAATAATTAATAATAATCTCCTCAACCATAAGTCATATTTAATGGAATTTGATGTAATTATATATAAATAATTTTTTTCACACACATGCATAAATGCATTGAAGTTGTTTATATGAAAGAGAAAATCTTATATAAAAAATGTTTTTTATTTCTGTAGTATTTCATCTTCAGAAGAGCAGATAAACCATAAAGCAAACATTCATGAATAGTAATATGGTGTGTGTGTTTGTGTGTGTGTGTGAGTGTGTGTTTGTGTGTGTGTTTTTGTGACATATGAGGACATAAATTTGTGACATGGGTATAACAGGTATTACAAGGAGAAGGTGACTTATGAGGACATTTCTCCATGTCCCCATTTTTCAAAACGCTTATAAATCATACAGAATGAGTTTTTTTGAGAAAGTAAAAATAGCA